TCTATTGGTTCAATAAATAATAAATAACTTTTATTAAACAGTAAATAAAAGGTCTCGCTTACAACTAACAAAATATGAAATCGTTTTCTTCCTTACTTGTGTATTTACTTAAGGTTAATTATATCGTTTATTTAGTGATAAATACAATTTTGACAAACGCTCTGACAGTAACGGACAGAGAGAACAACAGCCCATTCTGCAGACGCCATTATGACGGTGGCTTGCACTAATTGAATGGGATTGGAAGACCATAAGTTGTGGCAAAACATGGGAGAGTCTGAGCCAATACTAAATGTATGGTGGATGGATAATGGTCGAAGTTTGCCGATTGTTATATCAATTTGTGCGATGGATCGACTCGGGGGACAACTCCGCGAAAGGATTTTGATATATCGCTTCTGCCCCTTGCACCTACGTATGCCCATCCTGGGTATAGAAAGGGAGATGTTTATGACAAAATCAATAGAATTCCTATGGCAGAGTATAACTTCAGAACTAAACAATAAATGGCCTTTTAGTGGTACAACATATATGTATAGTTACCTACTTAGTAAAATCATCCAAAGTGATTATTGTCATAACACTCTTGTATCTTACTTGTTCTCAAATCAAAGCCCTTCTATCTTCCAAATAAACCCTTTATAGACCTTTAAATCATTAACGTGTAATTAAGGCTTACACCGTATTTGTTTTATCGACACATATCTGCACTCCGTCGCACGGAGCAACGCAACTTAAGTGCCGGTGTGATAACAACTACACGAGAAAGCGTTCAACAAACTTGTCCGCAATGCTCCGAGAAGGACTCGAATCTGTTTGCGTAGGTTACACGGCTAAGCTTTAACGTGATGGTCTATGTGCAGACTAGTACTAAAATAAATATCTGTTTTGATTTATTTTGAATGACCCATTTAAAATAGAAGATTATAAGTACACAATCTCAAGTGTAAGTACAAGTCTCAACTCAACTTTTTCTTCAAAAAGTACCTACATAAGTACTTACAGACTACAATTATTATCTTCTAAGTAGTCTGTTTGTAGCTACGGCTGTTAGCAACACAGTTGAAACGTCAAGTTGTAATATTTTGTACTCATTATTCTCATACTTCATAAAAATTGTCGCATTAGACACTCGTTATTCTCTATTCCCAATCTAGTTTTTAAAAGTCCTTCTCAAGCTAACTACAAACAAACAATACAATCTTCGAGACATTTCAAATCAAATCTTGTATATTTTCACACAATTTAGACTGACAATAAGATGTTTTACTTAAACGTTTTTAGGATAATCTCACGGCTGGCAGACTTCATTTTATATTCAGATTCCGCATTATCGCCAATTGCTCGCGTCAGTCAGTCGGCGTGTGGGACTATGACGCCTCCTTCACGATAATTGACGTAGGACAAAAGCCCCCAGCTCCCGAATTGAGGAGAATAATATATGGGCCCGAATCACTATTACATTTGCTGTAAACTATTTGCGAGATTAGAGTAACTGTATCGATCTGGAAACTCCGCCTACCGAATCATGAGTACCTACCTATACAAATAAACTTTTACTTAGCATCGCCAAGGCTCTATAGTCTCATTTTGTACTTACATAATTATTTACAGTCATAAACGTAACTTTTAGTTACTTATTTGTTTTATAGTTTTTGTTTACTTATTTATGTTAAAGTTCAAAGACATAATAATGAATTTCATAGGAGGTAATTACTACATATTTCATCGTAGCCAAGAAATTCTAAAACTAACAAAAATTGCTCTATCCAATCCAGAATCTGTCTAACACCGAACAAAGGCACCTCACATCTATTAAAATCTTGAAAGAAAATGTAAAACAAGCCCTTATTACAAGCCCTAAAATTCATACACTTATCATGTTTGCTTCTGATCACAATAAACAATATAACTCCCAATCGCATTATCAGCACAGACCTCACGCAATCGCCAAATGAAATTCGGTAATGCAATGCGCGCAAACAACACACACGTGCCAATCCTCGCAACGACATTACCATTCATTACTACAAGTAATATAATTACTGATTTATAGCTCAGCAACTAAAGGAGCACAATATCCAGCTGCCGGCTGGGACACGTACGTTACTATTGTATGTAACCCGGTTAGGTAATTTCGGTACATGCCTCTAATCCAATTAGCTATTAAGATTCGTGGCTCGAATATTAATTCCTCGGCTCGAGGCTGGAGCAACTGTGACCTTATGGAGGGCTAGGACCAGGGTTGTCGACTTTACACTAGTTAAATTAAGACTTATTTTTATACATGTTTTAAAAGGATATTTGTGCTTTTTGCATTTTTAATTATGGTCTCTGACATGTTTTGGAAAAATACTAATAGTCAATAATTGCTTAGCAAACTTTTATGATAAGAGAGAGAAAGTAATCTTGACTTTCAATGTTTTTGTGTGCTGCGAAAAATTATAGTGATGATTAGTTTTTCATAACGTAGAATTTTTTAAAGTTTCATGATTGACATGCATACCAAACCAATGTGAACCTATTATAAAGATAACCTTTATAACAATATTTATGACTTTGTTTCGTTCTTGCTCCGAGACTATCAAACTACCTTCGTCAACCATATTGCCTCAACTTGTCAATCACGGAAATCAATCTAGCTAGCTCGACTGGCTCGACATACAATCTGTTTGTCCGGAACTCTTTGAGTAAACTTTTCGGCAGTGGGCATCCTTGTGGATCACGCGCGAAGGCGATTGCTTCCATCGATTGTGTTTGCAGTGATCGCGGGCTTTTGTTTTATTTTGTGCGCGAAACTTTGGCGAATCGTGTCACGATATCAATTATTTTACTTGATTTTTCTAAAGAACAATATCTATCAGCGATATCGCACTGTATTAATGGGCTTACAGAGGTGAGTCTCTTTCGCCACTTCTTTTCAGCACCAGTGGTAGAGCAAGCTATATTTGGGCCTACTAATACGCCGACGTTGGATTGAAGTTAGGATATCAACCATAAAACAGGAAAAAACCAATTTCCTACTTGTATTTGTGTGGTATATTCCACCGTTTATTTCTAACGTTTTTCGTGGTATATTCCACCGCTCCCAATACCCCTTTTCCATGAAAGATCAGAATATCTGATATTCAAAGAAACGTTGCTTATCGGGTGACCGGTCTGCTATCTTTGTTGCGGCTCGTGCTCCATCAGGCAATGCCCTATCACGGCCTTATCTGCCTACGCCTTACCAATAATAGGTGAAAGCCTCTCCATCGACCCACATGGAAAAATAACAAACATCTACACATATGGGTACGAGTGTTCAATATAGCTTGTGATTGTTATGATTATGCAAGCAATCATGATACAACCGGAATGTTTAACATTAATTATTAATTCAAGCTAGTGACATGAATAGATTTACCGTTTAAATATTCATGTACTATTGTTGTTTAGTCGATAACGAGAGGGTTTATTATCATACTAAATATACTCGATACAAAATCTCACTTTCTTAATCAATACAAGTCGTATAAGCGTCAGGAAGTATTCCTAAATACGGCTAGAAGCGCTACTTTGGTCCCATCGTATTAATTGGGCCCGTCATTTTGACGGACCGAAGTGATTACTCAACCGGTTAGACAAATAGTTGGAAATGAACTGCGATTGGTGATCCTCGCGACGATTTGTTACTAACCACATAGTACGATTGCTTTCGTATATTATTAGACGAGCTTGTTGTAATTTGGTAGGATTTATTGTAAAGCCGAAATTGTACAAATATTAATTAACTGACTGCACTATACATCTTGCAAAACCGTTAAAGAAATATAAGTATGAATTTTAGTTATGCCTAAAATGAATATACCAGTACTTTGGTTTAAACCTTGTTATTTTAAGAAGAAATAAGTGTTCCGAATATTAAATTATCATTAGTTTAGTCATTTTCCATTGCACGAACTGTTCATTAAATATAAGAAGCCTCGGAATTCTAATGTGCATATTCAATTTAATAACTTAACTGGAGAATGCATTTGTGAGAGTATGTAGGGCGTTAGACGCCAAGAGTCTGGAAATAATACACACTTTCATGTTTCTCGGATAATTCTACGACATTTAAATTGGCGAAATAAATAAATTGAAGCGTTGTAATGTTTAGATAAATCATAATTAGCATCTGGTATATTTATAGAATCTAACCGTGTTGTTTATTCAACCTAAAAGACAAATTATAATCCCACCTAAATGTCATCTCCCCACACTAATTTGTTATTCATTATAAGCTGTGTTTAATATTATTTAAGCAACAAATTTTGTAGCTTCAGTTAACATTTATATTTTACAGCTGATCACGTAGATAAAAAATACACTCGTAAATATTGTAAATTGTATGGAAGACCTTTCTAATTGATCCCCGATTTAACGACTCATTGGGCTTCAAACATAAATGCGGCCCTTCACAAATGGATACGGCCAATAAAAGTAACAGATATTGTAAATACGCAATAAAATGTGTCATGAATCAGATATCAGCATTACGAATTTGTATACCTTTCAAATGTGTGTCCTAAAAATTTGTATTTTAGTCTATACACTGGCGAAAGTACGTACAGATACTTCTTATTGCTACTGCAATAGATGCTAATTTGCAGCAAAAATCTTAACAATAAACGTGGTCTGGTGTGCTATAATAAGTGCTATTACAACAATGTATGGTCATAAGTGCTATTGACTGCATCAAAGTTCACATTTAAGGTTAGGCCTTAAGGTTCTAAAGTTTTCAGAATCTTTATTTAAAGGTAACAAATAGCACACTATCTACGGAGCGCGCATCAAAATTAGAAATAAAACAAACACACGCAAACTAACGGCAACCGACAACGGCGTCGTTCGCAAAATAGCCTTTATTACGTTTGCATAGGCTACTCAAATATTCATTAGGCTCGCACAATATCCTCTTACTAAGCATAATTAATATCGGCTATTATTCGTGTGCTAATTCTGTTTGTTCGTCGCAGACGAGGGCAAGATACACAAGATCGTGCAGTGGACGCGCAACGGGGACAGCCAGTCGGCGCTGCTGGACATCTTTGACGTCACTCCGGGAGAACCTATACAGGTAAATTGTCATAGTAAATACATATTACTGATCTCTAAAAATCTACCCCCTTATTAATAAAAAGTTACACTTAGGATGAGAAAAAAAAATACAAGTATGTTTATATCCGTTGTCTAGTACCCAAGTACAAGCTTTGCTTAGTTTGGGTCTAGAGGCGCAGTGTAAAATGTCCAAGGATATAATTATTTATTATACGTAAAAAGAGGTTTCTAATTTTTGTACTTTTCTAAAAATCTAACGATGACGTATGCTGGCATGTGAAGTCACAGCAGTTCACGATTGGAGACAATATATGTGATCATGGTGGTTTGAACCATTTACGATGGCCATCGAATTAATTTTTCATAGATATAAGTAGGTGTCAGTATCCACGAGATCATCTTACTCTGTCTGATATCCAACTATAGATTTTTATAGTGCACCGACGATACTTGTGAGCGTTGTTTGATTAAAGTTGGAAGACACAAGTGTAACATTTGAAACTACTGAAAACACTGCTTCCCAGAGAGCTGTCCACTACTTGAGATTACGTAATTCTATCAGTCTGATTAGTTCTCCGAATGACTGGATTTATTAGTCCAATAAACTTTACTGTTGTTATAATTAGAGTAAGTACAGACTAAGGAGCTGGAACAGACTTCAATCAATCCAATCTATCTGATTGGCAGTTGGCACACATGTTATTTTCCCTTTGTAACGGAATTGTATTCATGAATTACTCAAATAACTGGATGATTACCAACTTTGACCCAATTCCGCCTCGTGACTAAAGACATTTTATAAAGACGAAATAATCACCTTAGAGTGTTTCAATAGATGCTAAGATTGAGTTATTGAGTTAGCCTTGAGTACTTGTTTCGAGTTTTAATCCCGTGACACCCTTTTCTCTTTACGTGAACTAAATACTAACTTTCATCTTTGAAGGATTGTAAATGAATTTTCATACCCTTTCTTTTAAGTTCTCTGAAGACGACGCAACATTCATAGCCTCGTGTTACAAATAATCAGTAAAGGATTTTCGGTTCCTTGAGTTTTCAACTCGTATGTTTCGATGTCCACTCATGTTAGTGTTGTGTGTTAAGTTGCAAATAAAATTTATATCTAGGATCCCAAGTCAATGCATGGTATCAAATTTTTAAGTCTTAATCGAGCTCATTAGACATAGTCTCTGCGTTCACTTAATTTTATCTTCATTAGCTACGTGGTTAAGTGAACACAGAAATGCCTTGAAATGCGAGTCACATTTCGCTATCGTGATTTCGCGTGTACTGACTTTTGTAATTAAAAACCCAATATACATCACGATAGAGTCCTAATTCCAATAATTTCAACCAGGCTATGGCGCTATCCCGCACCCACGGCTCTCTGTACGCGGCGTCAGATCGACGCGTGCTCCAACTCCGGCTAGCGCTATGCGCGCGTCGCTACGACTCAATTTTTAGCCCAATAGAGTCCTAATTCCAATAATTTACCTAGATATCGCATTCATAATTAATGAAAACCCAATATACAACACAGCAGAGCTCTAATTCCAATAATTCCTCCAGGCTATGGCGCTATCCCGCACCCACGGCTCTCTGTACGCGGCGTCAGACCGACGCGTGCTTCAACTTTGGTTGGCGCTATGCGCGAGTCGCTACGACTCAATTTTTAGCCCAGTAGAGTCCTAATTCCAATAATTTACCTAGCTATCGGCGTTCATAATTAATGAAAACCCAATATACAACACAGCAGAGCTCTAATTCCAATAATTCCTCCAGGCTATGGCGCTATCCCGCACCCACGGCTCTCTGTACGCGGCGTCAGACCGACGCGTGCTCCAACTCCGGCTAGCGCTATGCGCGCGCCGCTACGACGCTTGCGTGAGATGCGCCCGCGACCCCTACTGCGGGTGGGACAGAGACGCTGGAGTCTGCAGGGAATACTTGCCTGGGTGAGTATAGTTTACTGGACTAAGAGAGGCGATATTTTATATTTGGTTTGAAATGCGAGTATTGAAGAGCGAGTTAAGAGTGAGTCCATTAATGTAAAGACATGTAAAGCTAAACTTAAGTCTAATTAAAAAGAGATTTCCAGTCAGAACAGAAACAACAGATAGGTCTTAAGCCCATATTGTCAGTTAATATTGTAGAAGTTATTCAGCGCACTACGGTGCTACGAACAGCGCACGCGCCGCTACGATGCGTGCGCGCAATGGACGTGCTACAACAAACTGTTTACGACGTAGTAGTACATTACAAATTTTCGTCGTAGCAAATTAATCTGGAAAAATAGGCAATAGCGAAAGTGTTAGATAATACAAAAACATTTCTCTTTTTATAAAAATATCATCGTGTCTTGTTACTGTGAACCTAATTTATCCAAGATCTTATATTTAAACAGACAATCTACTTTGAAGACTTAAAATGAGCAACGTAAATAAATAATTGAGATAAATGTAAGTTAAGATAGACATTATACAAACATCTCGTTTATGTCATTCCAAATAGGCTATTAAGTCGCGTTACATAATACGACGAAAAGCGGCATTTTTTTTACGAGTATTGTTTTTCCTCTTCTGTATTGAGTGGAAAAATATCTTCATTCATTTCCTTGAATAGGTATCTTAGTAGCGATTATGTCTTTATTAGAATAAAATATTCCAGGAATTGAAATATTAAGGCGAAGCTCATCTTCTTTGTTACATGAAACATTTAAAACGTATTTCGTTCAAAAACTCGTGTTAGGTTACTAGAATCTAATTGCTGACGAGGTACATTTTCGTACGTATTTTTAAGGTGTTTCGTATCTAATGTAGGTAGATTTAAGAAAATTTACAGAACATAAAGTAACAGAAATATCGCAAAATATACCTATGGGTCCACCCACCGACCGACGGCATCATAAAGGTAGCAGGGAAGCGCTGGACGCAGGCCACTACCAATCGATCAACATGGAAAGCATTAAAGCATTGGGAGAGGCCTATGTTCAGCAGTGGACGTCTATGGCTGAAATGATGATGATGATGATGATACCTATGGGTGCACCTGCTCTTGAACTTAATATTGATTATTTTCTTCTTATCACGTCGACTGTGACAGTCCTTTTGTCAGACATTTATACCTCTCTGAGAGGAGAGTTTTGAAAAATGTTTAACCTTATTTTAATTAACCTTTTATTACCAACAGGCTCATCCAAGACGTAGCGAACGAAACAGCGGACATCTGCGACTCCTCGATCGCTCGTAAGACTGTGTCAGCGACGTGGGGGCAGAGTCTCCACCTGGGAAGCTTCGTGAAGATGCCCGAGGTCCTGCACCCGAGGGCCGTCACCTGGTTCCACTACTCGAGGGAGAAGGGACGCCACCCCATCACTTTTAAGTAAGTCACTAACCATATCAATACCATAGATGTACTCAATAGGTACTTACAGGTACTAATAAGTAAACATACTGAATATTTGCATTGTTTTTAACGGAGCAATGTGGCAAGAAAATTAATTCATTGACGGTTCGCGACTGCAAGCAAAAAAGGGCGTTCAGGCACTCTCTTTTTCTTGTCATGGTATTGAGCCGCGGCAATGTAAAACCCTAGGTTTTTAACATTACATCATTGTAAGTCACACAGAGATATACAGGGTGTTTGGCGCATCGTGTGCCAAAATGATTTGGCGGATAGAATGGGTCATTTCCTATATTTTCAGCCCCCATAACACGTTCCATGTCAGGCGGCTACTTTTATATTAAGTTTTTTAGTAATTTCACCAAAATACCCAAATCGCATCATTTAATTTCGATTTAAAAAAAAACTACTAAGCGTAGCCTCAAAGTAAATATTTTGTTTTGACGTGCATTGACATAGGGTTGCATCAAATCTAAATTTACTGGCAAATATCATCTAGTTTTTTTTTAATTCAGCATTGAACTTTTCCGAAAAGTTAAAAATGGACTGAACATTTAAGTTTACATGGCTATAAATTTTTTTTTTTATAGCCATGTAAACTTAAATGTTCAGTCCATTTTTAACTTTTCGGAAAAGTTCAAAGCTGAATTAAAAAAAAACTAGATGATATTTGCCAGTAAATTTAGATTTGATGCAACCCTATGTCAATGCACGTCAAAACAAAATATTTACTTTGAGGCTACGCCTAGTAGTTTTTTTTTAAATCGAAATTAAATGATGCGATTTGGGTATTTTGGTGAAATTACTAAAAAACTTAATATAAAAGTAGCCGCCTGACATGGAACGTGTTATGGGGGCTGAAAATATAGGAAATGACCCATTCTATCCGCCAAATCATTTTGGCACACGATGCGCCAAACACCCTGTATATTATGTTTGATGTAAACTAGGTGATAAATTGAACTTAAGCACGTACTCCTTCTATTTTCTTTAAACTTCGTTAGGGGCCATGTATTGACTTGTATCATTGTAATAAATAATAATAATAATAAATCTTTATTTCGTTACCAGAGGTTTGCTTATAATTAATAGTGATCGATGCCTCCTTTTAAGCTTAAAGAAGCCTGTGTCACTTAAGGGACAATTAAATCTACCTTTTTGTGCAGTGTTTTTAACATCCAATAAGTTTTTTAAATGTCGTTATGTATTCAAAACATCAGCGATCTGGCCCTTTAGCCAGAGTACGATAACCCTTACTAAGTACGAATACAAAGTAGACAGTTCAAGAATAACAATAAACCTCCCGTATCAACTGTGTAACCTAAGCTCTAGCCGCTTTCGAACAAAACGTCGTTTTCTTAGAAACTGGGGTAAATGGTTTCGTATTTTGAAACTTAACTACAAAAGGCGGTGCGGCGCTACTCATAAAACTGTTATTTGTAAAACGATCAGAAACACGACTAAGTTATCTTAAGACTGAACTCGAAACTTTGTTACATAACACTCGGTGCAGTTTAAAACAGTGCATTTGTATTCAAAGGAGCACTTGCAAAGAAATTGCCTGCAACTGTCTCACCCACGTTCCCCAATGAAGACAAACAACAATTTAAATGGCTTCGAAATTGTTGAGAAAACACTTGAACTAAACACGCATGCAACAACATTAATTAAAGTCTTTCCAAATCTGCCTTTATCGCACTTCCGCTGGTATAATTAAAATGCAAGGGGAAACTCGAATTAAGGCTCTGTTTATGGAGTTTCGTTCAAACGCGTGCCTTCGCTGTGTCTTTGTTACCGCTCTGCACACCTCAGCTCAATTTTAACCGCAAGTTTTCCTCCACGCAACTTCCCGTAATAAAAATTGAGTTAGCAATGTTTATACCGCCCGGCACGATACAACGCGATCTTCTTAAACGCCATTCACTAATTGGATTATAATACACTGTTGTGTAATCTTTATTAAACGAAATCGGTATTTTTATGAGAGTGAGCTCTACTGGCCTTAATTTTAATAAAAAAAACCTTGTCTTAATTTGACCTGCCTATTGTTTGTTTGTGTAATATGGCTATGCGATTTATAGATCTTGTTAAAACTCATCGGCTTTTAAATCTAACGCGTATGTTTTGATTTAGTAAGTATGCAAAAAAAGCAAAGTTGACGGACCTCAAGTAAATATAACTTTTCAACATAAATACAACTCAAATAATCGTACTTATTCCAATCGCATCATCCCTTTGACGGTTCACGATAAAACAGAAACAACATCGGCAAACAACCCGAAAATCATTTAAAAGTTCACTACAATAAAACTATAGTCGGACGGAACGGTCTTGATACTTTTTATTTTTTATTACATTTGGCCAGCGTCAAGTAGAATTTTATTTCAAGTAATTTGAAAATATTTAAATAATATTTAATGATTGATAAATGATATCCTCTCCTTTCCCTTAAGTTAATAAGAATCAATAAAGATTTACTGAGACCTCACTCAGACTTCTTAAGATAACTTGAAATTATGTTACTGCTAATCTTAAGTATTTTATACGACTATCAATATAAAACTGCTTAACATCACACATCACTTTTCCATTAAGAAGTCTAGTTGATACTTATCGTTAACGTTGTTGCAGCAAACCGGAGAAATACATCGAGACGTCGGAGCACGGGCTGCTCATCATATCGGTGAACGAGGGCGACGCGGGCCGGTACGACTGCTGGCTCGGCGGCTCATTGTTGTGCTCATACAACATCACCGTTGATACGCACAGGTACCTACATGTTCTATACTTGACAGGTTAAGAGTTTCTCATTTGAGGATATATGTATAACAGTGCAATATATCGAGCGGTTTACACTCGTATTTAATGCGATTCTGTTTTATCTAATGCGATTCTGGTGAATTTCGCTAAGATAAACTGCATGACTGCTAAATAAAAACACACTTTGAAATTAATTTACCGTTTTACACATAATAATCCTACTAAAACATTGAATGCTACATTTTTTCTTTATTTTTAGATGTTCGCCACCAGAAAAGAGTAACGAATATCAGAAAATATACTCGAACTGGTGTCACGAATTTGAAAAATACAAAACTGCCATGAAGACGTGGGAGAGGAAGCAAGAGGTAATTATCATAGTTCCTTAAATTAGTATTTTATTTCTATAAAAAAAACATTATTAATGACACTAATGTATTCTTTTCTTTTGCAGCAGTGTGCCCGGCAAAACGATTCGAATCAGAACACGCATCCAAACGAAATTGTGTGATAGCTTCTGAACATCGCCTATCTCATGTTTCAGTCAGTAAACTATTACGCCGGGGCCATCCCGGTGCCGTACGTATCGGCCGGCCTCAAGTACTTCAACGTGTTCTCGTGAGACGACAGTTGACAACAATCGCTCAGTGATCTCTCAGACTCCATAGTCGTGTCAAGCTCAACTAGTAGTCAGTGACACCCCTTAGCTTTACAAATAGACTTACAAGTGTAGTGATACGCAACAGTGCATCGTTCCCGACACACTGGGATCATGAGAAGGTGATTTAAAATGAAAATTTTAATGGACATTTTATGAAATTTTAATGGAACGATAGAAATATCGGCGTTGTGCGTTACTTTGTTGGATTATGGAATGTATAAAAGATTAGAAATTCTCAAATTGTAAGTACGCTTTGTTGGTTGGGTTAGTAAGGGATTAGGAAAATTGTTAGCATTATTGAATGGATGATAATTTTGATAATGAATGTTGGAAAGTTTTGAGCCCAATCACGTATTGTTTATTTAAAGTGTTTTATCTGTGGGTCCTTATTGCATTTTTAATTTGTATGTAGTAAATTAATTTTGTGGTAGGTTTTTGCTATGTTAGTTATTTGGTCCTGTAATTTTAAGCGAGGATCAAGTCACCTCGTATCGAGTACTCGCACTAATGATCGAGTATAGAGATACGTCGGCCGCTGCCTTACTGCGGTCGTAATTTCAAATCTCCGAGGGTTGTGGGAGGGTTCGCCTCATTATTTTTCCCCTATTTGTGTAAATAGTTACCTAATTTCGTTCGACTGTACCTACTAATGTAAGTGTACGTATAGTATGCACGTCCCTAATGGTAACGTATAATTTAAGCCTGTGATATATAAGAAACATAGATATTAATAAGGGGAATGTATTGAGACTAAATTTTTACCGTTGAAGTGAAGCCTCTTTTCAAACTTGCACCGTACTCAATCTTATAGTGTGAATCTGTAACATTTAACTTAACGATTAATTTTTATACTATTATTAACCACACTTTTAATTAAATAGTTGTCACATTCCACAGTACCTATTATATTATTGTATAAACAGTAATTGAAGCCATAGTTGAAGAAACAGCTGGGTTACAACTCTTATTTTGTGTTTTAAGAAATTGCAAATTTGATATTTGAGTATGTAAATTTCAGTTTTAAGTTTAGTCACATTGCTTAGCGGCATACGCCCAGCTTGTGACATCCACATAAGACACGGGGCCGACGCACTATCAGGCCTCTTAACTTATAATATCGAACACCACATAGCAGTTTGTATAAACCTTTACAATCTAAACTCTCTTAAAAACTTTTGAATTTGGTTTCAATGCAATGCATACATATGTATAAGTATTTTGTAGAATGACCCAAGCTGAAGAATGTATGTAAACCAGAGGCGAAATATTAGTCTAGGCGGTGTTTTAGATATTATCTCTGCATATTTTTGTACAAAGAAATCCAATATTGACATTTTATTAGATGATTAGAATTAATTCAACTGTTCTCACGTATCACCAACTTGTACCTTCTTATTCGGAATTTTATTCGATTTCATATCATGATGTTGTACCTAAGAGCTTGTACATATTGTATTAACATCAACATGTCATTATATTTATACATAGCGGTCGAATAATAAATTTCAAAACGAATTTTATAAAAGGACATATTTTTTCTAGAAATTTATTGACGAAATGCCATGAAATGTTCCGCTGCCATAAGATACAAGTTTGTTAGTTTGATGTATCATGGAATAGTATTATTCGTTGTGTACTCAAAGCCATACGTCAACCGTGCCATTTCTAGGACATCCATACATGCACTTTATAGTAAGTATACAGGAATATTACATTGAGATTTTAACAGTTAGAATACACAGTAAATAATAATAGATTTTTAACAATACTCTTGGATTGGCTAACAATGACGCGGTTGGGACTAACGTAGACTATCTTAGATCATTAAACACCATTACTAGATAATTCTGTTGGAAAAGTCGTAAAAACCGGATCGTAATTTGAAACTTTGGACGTTATTCGCAGGCTCGCATCCGTAGTAGTAAATTGTTAGTCTAATAGGTGCTTCAATGTAAACTTTCCTTTTGCAAATACGTATATTTTGAGACTTCTTCATATCATAATGTACATACATAATTCGAAATAGATATAAAAAAATCATAAGAAATATCTGAGCTTCGTCGTTTATTATGTGTAAGCTAAGGTCTCGTACTTAAGTATCTTAGTGATTACTAAACTATGGATTTCCCTAATCTCGGGATGATCTTGCGCAATAATTATATAACTAATTACTATTGTCTGTACTAATCGAATAGCTCTGTAAATTTCACATGTTACTATACTGTAATAAGTTAAATTCAGATGTAGCGTTAAGATTTTATATAATAAATCTATGAAATGTATCTTTCATTCTAATGAAGTTTTATTTGACACCCCATTTCTTGTGACCACACAAGAAATATCATCAAGCATATCATAGAGAGTGAGTAAGTCATCATTCACTGTATTATTCCCAAATTGCTCTAACAAAAATAGTTCACGACCTACCATAATGGGCGTAGCTGTATTTAGTTGTACGAAAACATGTCACAGTATATCAATCATCGTCCGAAAGTTACGACATGTATTGTTAAATAACCAGGAACGATAACGTCGTAAAAGCGAAGAGAAAATTTAAAGTAGTGTCAATTCATCAAGCCGCATACGGGGTTGACATTTTCGTCATAACAGCGGTAGAGGGCGGCACCCTCGCCCGAAGTAGGGATATTCGATATACATCGATGTATCGAAAACATCGATGTTTACAATGCGATACATCGAATGGATCCGATGTTTTGAAAAGCTATTGAAATACTCGATGTATCGATGTTTTTAAGTTTTCAGTGTTAAAACATCGAATCGATGATAACCAATTAAAATTTCATAAAACTCAAGTCTGACCACTNTTTAGTATTGCTTATTATTTAGCATTATTACTATTTTCATTTGATAAGGATATACTTCTTAGTTTAAAAGTTATTACGTTTTCTTTACGAGAAGTAATTGGAAGAAAAAAAATTATAAAAAAAATAAAAAAAAAATCTCAAAAATTTTGACCTCTTTTTTGTCGATAAAAATAGGTCTAGTTTCACCTATTTTCATATGTGCACCTTAACGTGACTCACACTGTATAATGAAGATTTTTCTCATGTATGGCTTTTACTGTTTTTTAATAAAACAATGCTTAAATTAGTGGATTATAAAAAATCTTAAAAAAGTACTCGATTTATACAAAACATCGATGTTTTCTTCCAATACATCGAAAGAAATCGATGTAAAGTTTTAAAATATCGAATCGAAAAAAACATCGATGTTTTTTCAAAGTGGACACCCCTAGCCCGAAGGGGGCATAAAAACTGAGTCGTAATTATATAGTGCTACTAAACTAATTTCACGATACATTGCCGACGAAATCTGCGCTTGGCACCGGCTCAATATGATTTTTCCTTCACAACGCGACGTCTGATTACTGTAGTTACGTGTTATTTGGTATGAATTGCTAATGTCGCGGACTTGGTTCGGCAGCCTCTAATGAATACCTGGTGAAGGGTGTTAAATTGTGACCTTCGCCCGGTCAGCTGGCATGTGATCGGTTTGGCCCGTAATTACTGGCGTTAGAAACGTTTTAATGGTGGACTCGGTTCACTTAATAAATAGTTAGCGGACGAATGATTTTAGAATATTTTTTAAAAATATGTCACATGATATGAAATCCACGCCTCTATAGTTGACTACCAAATTACAGATATTGTAATAATGGCTGTTAAATAATACACCCTGGAACTAGGGTACCTACTCGGGTCAGATTGGACTTGAAAAGTAGTACACTAGACCACCTTCTCAAATTCGTTATAAAAAGTATACTTAATCTAGTAATTCACTGTGTATTTTTTTTGCTAATCTTACAAAATTACTAAATCCAAATAAAAAATTATCTTTATTTGTGAAGAATAACACTGGGGAACAGTCATTTTGCGGCATGGTAGTTTAGAGTCAATTCTGTATGCGACTAGTGTGCTGAATACTAGAAAAATATTAGATTTGTCAAATTGACTCTAGATCTTGAGATAAATACTATTAACTGTTTATATGAAAAAAAACAAAATAAAAATATCAATCTGTATAAAAAATATATTTACAGTAAGATCCTATTTAAAAACGATATAAAAATTAAAAATATATTTGCTTTTCATCAAATAATAGAAAAAAAAACTACAAAAAGCTTTTTCTGTAAGCTTTTATGTTATGGTTTTGGTGAGGAAAATTCCATAATTATGGCAACAGTAATCAGCCATCATCTGGTGGTCCCTTTGACCGTGGATGTCATTCTTCCACTATCCTGATGTTCTGGTAGAACCGTTCTGCTTATTCCTCACTGTAATCACCCAGAATAAGGGCGAACGTGTCCAAATGGCTATTGTTAAAAAAAAAAAACTCAAATTAGATCCTTATGTGTTAAATTTTTCAAACAACCAATTCTGAAAAGCCTGGTGCTCTATGACTCCCCAAATATTGTTTGATTACTAAAACAAAGCTTAGCCAAGCTCCAGATTCAATTTGTGTTATGTGGTTTACAAATACAGTGTCTTAATAAGAGTACGGATTTGCGGTCAATCGAATTTATTTTTTCCGTATTCAAACGGACGTTCCAGGACGTAAAGGACTTTAATTTGGCTGACTTTTGATCATTTTAGTGATAAGAAAGCTCAGTTCATATCTTTGGCTTTCCAAATTGAAGTCCTTTACGTCCAGCTTGACTCCAGTATGGCAAAGAGTCTTCACGAGTCTTGCAGACGATATTGGACCCCCAATATTTATTATTTTATGGAAGTTTTATAAGACAGTATGCTTGGTAGGTTTTTATCACTACCTCCGTGATCTTGTTTCTTTACTTTTGTAAGTTTAAAAGCCAAATATTAACAAAAACTGTTGGGATTGTAAACGCAAGGTTTTCATAATGAACTCATATTTTTGAGACAAAAAAGCTCTTTAAAAATTGATTTAAAAGACACAAACTGTTAATTTCAAGGTCTAGTAGCTGATTACTAAATTGTTGTAACTACAACTACACTAATACATGAGTAGAAAATAAAACTTAGTAGGTATAATCAAATTAATATAAGTTTAGGGAGGGTCGTTTAATTTTTTTCATTGATTTCTTGTGTCTCGTTTATCTCAAGAACCAGAGTCAATCCAAAGAAAGTAAATGCACACCATTTATGTCTAATACAAGTATTTACAAAATCCATTAACAAAATAGATGCCGCAGATTTTTTTATTTTTTTTTGTTCCGCAGTGTAATTAAATGAGTACTTACAAATCGTCAAATGCTCTTAAAGAGCCTATACATGTCTCATTCTTTTATACCCTGCATAATATAAAAATACATTTAATTATCTCGCTATAAATTTCTAGATTCTGGATTCACCCCCTAATGTAGGTATGAAGTAAAGATTTAACACCAACAGCGTAGTTCAATACTGCACTGCAAATAAGAGTCAAACGCTTGGCTATCCTCATAAACTAAATGCACTCAATATGGATAATACCACACGGTAACTTGTAATTGGGAAGCATAATGGCGGCAATATATGGAGGTAATCTAACTTTCTTAGCGATAAATACACCGGATTATTTCACCGAAGCTTAAGCGTGACACACACATAAAGTGGGAGAGATTCATAAGTGGAGCGGGTCGGTTTTAACCGACCTCAAAAAAGGACAATATTCCCATTTTTTTGGTTTTTTTATTAAGGCTGAGTTGCTGCACCACCTAACTTTGACCGTAACTATAACGATAACTGGCATTTTTTGTGTGGAGTTTGACAGATTATTGACGTTTGACAAAGTTATGTAAGATGGTGCAACTCAGCGTAAGAGTTACTCCATTTATTAACCAAAATAACTAGTCCAGTCAATAAAGAATTAAAGAGGGAAATGCGTGGAACACAACGATTAGAACAAAACAAAACCTAACCTAACCTTCTTTTTTTTTCGTCGGGAAATGCTTTGCGCATACCCACTAGTCTATGGGGACGGCCAGTGGGTTATGTGGGACTCTCCCCGCCTACCCACTAAAGGCGGGGCCCAGCCACTAAAACCCGACGGTTTCCACCAGAGCCCAAAGAAACGGAGCCGCGAGTTATTGTCCAGGTTGGACATTCGTCCGCAGCTCTGCCTCAGGCTCGCTCGTGAGCGAGCCTCTCTGCCTTCGAGGAAACCCCCAATCCCCTCCTCCAGTTGTTTTTTATAGAGGTTTTCTCCTCGCGGCCCTGGTACAACAGGACCGCGAGCTGATCAGAGAAGTACCGAGAGCGGCCCTCCAAAGAACGGGCCCGGGCAAACGCCCCGCAAAAAAAAAACCTAACAATTTTATTTTCCGAAATGAGATGTTGCATTCTGTTAGTCTCATTCACCTGTTTCGCTTCGCTACCGCTTCTCGTGTGAGTTACGCTTTAAGTAGTGCAGTTAACGAGGAACAGTAATGTGACAATTTACACTAATCCGATATTGAGTGGGAGGTCCTTTGCTGAGGAACGTTCAACTGATCTCTACTTGCTGGTGCAGTTTTGAATACTTATTTAAACCGTTGGACGTTGACTGAAACTTGTTATTGCATTCGATGTATCTGTCATGTCGAGAACGACTTTAAGGCTGGGTTGCACCATTATACATTAACTTTAACAAACGTCGAAAGTCTGTCAAACTCGATACAAAGACAGTTAAAGTTACCTTTAAAGTCAAGTTGGGTGCAATTGAAGCTTATTACGATAAATTAACATTTTAATAACTTAATCTTTCAAATTTTATACAACCTTAAAATCAATTTGATTACTACAGTTCCTTTGCTACCAAATACCTATCTACTTATCTCTACTCGATCCCCAAACAAACTCTAATAATATTGACCAACCTTCCGCATGACATGTAGATATCTGCCTTTCAGATTCACGTCCTATTTTGCATGGGATAATCCTAAATTAAACACACGCGTTTTTCTCAATGGATTATTAATTGAAGAGGGTGGTTGGCGAGCAAGATCACTGTACCAGCCAGCCGTGTAATGTTTCATTTCACGGAGCGGAGCGGAGCGGCGCGTGCCGATGCGGACTTCGTCTC